TAGGATGGTTCGACCCAGAAGGAACACCGAAAACCAGGGAGAAGCAGAGGGAAAGCAAGGAAGGGGAAGGAGCCAGTGCAGCCGGGGAAGCGGGTGGCTCCGTAGACGGTCTCAAGAAAGTAGTCGCCACCCTCAATAGGACACTGAACAAGAACCAGGGGTATCTCGCAGATGCAAAAAAGAAACTCACGTTCGATGGGGCAAACATTACGGAGTTTCTAATAGACTATGAGAACCTAGCAGCCTTACTGAAATGGACAGAAGAGGAAAAGATGGAGCACCTAGGACAGCACGTATCGCTAAGTTTGGGAAGGGACATTATGGCCATCGTCGCCTCCAGTGGATCCTGGAAAGAGACCAGGAATGAGATGATGAGGAAATACCTGAAGGCAGAAAAAATGGCAACAGAGGCAGAATTAGCCGCAGTCCAGAGGAAAAACTATGCGACCTACAATGATTTCCTGAGGGCGTTCACGTTAGTGGCTCTGCGAATTCCCGGGGTAACGGACCGCATAATGAGTAAATACTTCCTCAGACAGTTCTCCGAGTTTGAAAAGGATAAGATTTTGTCAGCATACCAGCAGACCAGTAAGTTCGAATACACAAGAGATGTGGATTTCAGCACCGTAACAGACCTTGCGGAAAAGACAGTGGTTACGGAGACGCTAGCCCTATTTAAGGAAGGGGAGGTCATAGATTTGACCGGGAAGACAGGGGATAAGGTCAAGAAAGGGATAGAGAGCCTGCACGAACGGGTCCATGGGGTTTGATAGCAAGATCGACAGAATGGAAAATGCGTTGTTAGTAATGCAGGCGCAAGTGTCCAGACCCGCCCTCCCGCCCCAAGAGGCCGTGGTTCCAGCAGCTGTGGCAAACCGGGGATTTGGCAGGAGGGACCCGGCCAATGAACAATGTAAGTATTGCACCTTGATCGGGCATTTCGTACGGGCTTATTCGAGACTCAATCACGATATCAAGCGGCGGAGGTGCAGTAGGTCCCTCAAAGGCGAGATCCTCGGACCCAGGGGGGAGCGTGCCAATTGGAACTCGCCAGAAGGGATGCGGCGAGCCGTCATTCTCCTGAATAACCTAGAAATAGCTGTCGTAGAAGCAGAGCCGATAGCCGAGATCGTCTAGGACCAGCCAAGGGGACGGGGACCACAGGCCAATTTTATCCTAGAAGGCAATGGCCAGGATAGGGTGAATATCACCACTCGCCGAGCTGGCGCAGAAAATAAGCTTGTTCAAGATACAATAATGGAAGAACTCGCAGGGACTAGCACGGGCCAGCAAGAGACCGAAGTCGGGGGTCAAGAGAAGGATTATGGGAAGCCGAGGGAGGAGGAACCGGTAGACAAGGCTACGGCGGCGAAAAAGAAGTTCAGGTATCAAATTTCGATCCTGACTTCACCAGAAATCGATGGCACTTTGAGTAAGCTACTGGGTACCATGGTATCGGTGTCTTTTCAGACCATGCTGCAAGCCAGCCCGAGGCTGCTTAAAGGACTTAGGCAGTTGCTAACGCGTAAGCGCGTAGAGGTAGAGGAGGCCCCGAAACTGCAAGAGCAGGACACGGAAGAGACCGAGGCGCCGCAAGGAGTCTCTAACCTCCAAAGCATCCCAGAGGGCCTGAAAGATTTGGAAAAGGCTTTTGCTGACATTCGTCTGAACCTGCCGGACCGAGAAGGTGGTGAAGTCATGAGAGCACCGCCTGGCACTAAACTTAGCTTTCACGCACTGCCCGTAGGAAAGCTTAAAATCCAGATCGGAACTCACCACACTGACGCGTTAGTGGCTGGTGGAGCAGAAATCACCCTCATACGACGAGATTTCGCAATAGTCACGGGGTGCACGGTAAACAAGGAAGTAGCGGGGAGTATCCGGGGAGCCAGTGGCAAAATCCCTTTCACAGGGTATGTCACCAAATGTGCAGTCAGGGCGGGAATCCGGGAATCCATCTGGTCCTTTCAGCGGATGACCGTGATGGAAGAAATGGATCACGATGTAATTCCGGGAGACCATGGTGCGCCAATGTGAAAATGATAGGAATGCATCTGCACGACGGCACATACATGGTAGACATAGAGGATCCGGTGACTGGTCGCGGGGAACTCCTCCGACTCCTCGGAACTGGAGGGGACCCTCCGAAGGGCAAATTGGCAACCTGGTCGCCAACATTCGAAGAAAGTGCACGGAAGGGGGCATTCGCACGAATGGAAGGAATGAGGGAAAGGGTAGAAATTATGATTGAGGAGGCTTTTAGTAAAAAGGAATGGATCAAGATGGGCTTGCCCGTAAAGAAGAGGAGGCCAGAGGACGAGTCCCTGGAAGTGATGGTGGCCGAAAAAGAATAGGAAGTCGAACTTGGGGCCAGCCTGCCCAAACCAAAGGAAGGCCGGAACGAAACGTCGGAGGTAGTGCTTGAAATCCCAGATTTACTACAACTTGTTAAGGCCATCAGGTACCACAAAGTGGGGGTGGACCTCGCACCGCTTGCTAGATTTGAGGATGGGGTTCGAAAGGGCTACTGTCTGAACGGGAAGCTAGTCAGCATCCAGCCCCGCGTCTTGGAGGTAGCAAGGCCGATCCCGACCGTTCATTTTTTAGGAGAACGATCCCCGAAGGTAGTGTGCGAAAGTATAAACCCGTAGGCAAGAAGGCCAAGCCGGTCTCGATCCTGGTAGAAACGTCAAAGGAAGAGGCCATGGAGAAGGAAGAGGAAATCCTACGGGTTATAAGGGAAAGGAGAGCAGCGGAAGGCATCGAATACTTGATGAGGTAGCAGATATTATGAAAATAGGAGTGGAAGGGTTCTTAACAGCGGAGGAAACTCAGTTAATAAGAAGGGCGTGTCAGGAGTTCCACTTAGCCTTTGCTTTCAATGACCACCAGAAAGGGCGATTGGACGCAAAGCTAGTTCCCCCGGTTAGGATCCACACGGTAGAGCACGAATGTTGGAATGACAAAGGGCCTGCCTACAGGTTTGGGATAGCAGCGGAAGTCACTGATCTGGTTAGGGCCAAGATATATTCATTTGTGGTCGAGCCCACCGCATCTCCCTACGCAAACAAATGGTTCGTTTTTCGAAAGCCCAATAAAACGCTCAGATGGATCCAGGATTTGCAGAAGCTCATTAGGGATGCAGTCTCGCTCCCACAAACAGATTTGCTCGCCGAATCTCACGCTGGCCGAAGTATTTATTCCTTGATAGATATGTACTCAGGGTATGATCAGTTGACGCTCGACGCAAGGGACAGACCGTATACCGCAATGCACACCCCGGTAGGACAACTGCAGATGCAAGTGACCCCTATGGGCTTCACAAATGCGGTAGCAGAAGCTCAGAGGAGGATGCTCGCTGTCGCAGGGGATATGTTTCTGGAAAAGTGTAAACCTTACATAGATGATAACCCCGTGAAAGGCGCAAGATACAAAGATGAGACGGAAGTGCAACCGGGGGTGCGGAAGTTCGTCTGGGACCACTTGTAGGATATTAAGGACTTACTCCAGCAATTCCTAGTCTACAACATTACTGCAAGCGGGCCTAAGAGCATCCTGGCCGTCCTGGAAGTAACCATACTGGGATTTCACTGTGGAGCCTATGGGAGGAAACCCGATCCAGCAAAGACTGATAAGATCTCTCAGTGGCCGACACCCCTGCGCACCACGACGGAAGTGCGAGCCTTCCTAGGGGTGGTTGGGTTCTGGAGGATCTTCATCAAAGGTTTCGCAAAGATAGCAGAACCCATCCGCGCGATGATTAGGGAAGGTGGCACTATGGATTGGACCGAGGATAGGAAAGAGGCAGCCCAGATCCTGAAAGACATCCTGTCATTAGATCAGGTCACGTTAGCAGCACCCTGTTTCAATAACGAGGTAGGACGACCCTTCATCTTAGAAACAAACGGGGGACCATTGGCAGTGGGAGGAGTATTGATACAGAAAAGCGAGGAAGGCAAAGAAAGACCAATCAGATTTGAAAGTAAGACCCTGAATTCAGCAGAACGATGGTATTCGCAGTTCAAGAAGGAGGTCCTAGCAATCCTACATTGTCTTAAGACCTTCCAGGCATACCTGTTCAGGAGGCGATTTATCCTAAGGATCGATCCCACCAACGTTGTCGGAGCCTTAAAGAACTACAAGCCCATAGACCCCGACCGTTGGCAGGTGGATAGGCTTCATATAGCAATTCGACGATAAGGTCGAGCGGATTGCGGGGCTTTGAAATAGGGCAGATGGGCTGAGCAGGATATGCATCACGCCCGAAGGAGTAGAGGACGCGAAACCAATCGACGCTTTCCTGGAGTACGAAGGAGGGACCCTTGTCGTGGATAATGAGATGGCAGATCCGGCAATTACAACAGGACAGTTGCTGATTCAGACCTTGGAAAAGGGCGCACCTGCAGTAGTTGCAGGACTTAGGGAAGGACCAGTCACCACGGTCAGGCGTAAAGAGGAAAAAGACTTGTGGGGAGCAGAAGTAGGGGCCAGAGAGGAATTGATTCCAATGACCGTGGAAGGGGGACGGGACCCCGTAATGACATTGGCCGAAACCTGGGCGCAGAAGGAGTGTCAGTAGTTAGTCAACCTCACTCGGGAGGAGCAGGGTGCGGATCAGAACGAACAGGAATTCTTCCTCATACAAATGTATGAGGGCGTTTTCAAAGAAATCGGGTTGTTG